ACTACTAGAGTGGGAAGGGTAGTGAACAAACCAAAGAAATTTGATGATTATATATAAATTAGCTATTAAGAGGTTTATATAAGATAGTACAAATTAAAGTGCGAATAGTCATTTTGGTTAGATCAAAACAGAAATGCGTATACATTAGTTGATATAAGTAGAGTGTAAGGATTAGGAGAGTAAGAATGAATGTTTAATTTGTTAAGCGGCATGAACTTCATTCTTCGAGTCAGTTGAGTTTAAATAAAGAAGGTAACACCTGAAAGGGGGAGATGTTGTGAGTTAGAGTTAAGTAATGTATCGAGCGTGAGCGACATCTAACAGTATGCGGTGAGACCACGAAATAACAATAATAATAATAACGAGTGTGTATTAGAAAAAGGGCTAGACAAGAGCAGTCTGTATTAATAAGTTACTCAATAAAACCAGTACGCAGTTCTTAGTTAAACATTCCACTTCATCATTAAGCCTACCACAAAACAGTCTTATTGCATATTTTTTATACTTCTTATACCGTTTTTTCGGAGAAAATACTTTCTTTAGATTTAATATTCATACTTGTTTAATTTTGTAGTTTCTTTTATTTCATTAAAATATTATATTCTTAAACGAAATATCATTTTTTTAAATGATGAAAATAAAACTTTTATTTTGTTCAAGGAAACCATGTCTTTTGATGAAACAACACTATTGTTTTAAATAATATTTTTTAAAAATTTCTCTCAAAATCTAGTAATTTGATTTGTTTAATTTGGATTTTCTTGGATTTTTTAAATTTTTTTGTTGGATTAATCATTATAACATTTTGTGAAAAATGTAAAAGTAATTATCATTGGTTCACTACATTACATCAATATTCATCGCATATCGAATGTTGCATTGTTTCAATATCTAAATTTTTACTTGTTGTTTATCCAATAAACAACAACTAAAAATTATATATCTATTATTTGGTCCTTGCTAGGTATGTTATAATATACTGTGAACACTATAAGGATACATTATGTAAGCATGAATTGTAAGAATATCGTTGGAGTCATCATAGTCACCGCGTGCGCGCTCGATCGTCAGATTTAAGCAACAGTTTAATGCGGTCATGATATGGATGGGTGACCAGTGGTATACACCTCTTGGGATCGAAATTATCGCAGGAGGATTCATGAAAGTTTGGAATGTGTTGACAACCTTCGATATCTAGTAGTTTATGAGACATGAGAAAATTAGGAATATAAGTATATTTTTGTAAACATTATGATTTTCTCATTTTTCACCTTCGCATAATAATTCTCAGTATTTGATTACTATCAATATTTAACGGAGATTTTATTATCAGTATTCACCAGAAATTAAGTACTGGCCAAAAATTTACTAAATTATTGGTAATATTTAATCACTAATAATTTTTCAGTATTTCTTAGTATATTTCTATAAGGGGCAGTAACGCATTTACGCTTACTAGTTATATTTTTTTAGTTATATTTTTAGTTATATTTTTAGTTATATTTTTTTATAACAATAACAAATAATTTCGTAAGTTTCATAAGAAACTTGCCGTTTCTTTGCACATATAGAATATATGTCTATAGATCAATCAGAAAGAAATTCTAAAAAATTCTTAATAATTTGTGAAAAAATTAGAAATTTACACCCAGATAGCCAAACCTGCGCGAGCAGATTTCGAGCAGAGCTTGCTATCAACTTTTGATGGCAAATAGATAACAAATTTTATGCAGGATCTGTTATATCAAATCTTGTTGTCAAATTGCCGCCAGATATGCAGCAGAGTTTGTTGTCGGATAATTGTTGCAGATTTGTAGCAAAAATCGCGCAGAGTTTATAGCGATTTGACGGCAGATTGCCGGCAGAAACCGCATAGACCTTGCTGCGCTGCAAGCTTTGAGCGGTTTTTGCTGCAAATTTGGCACCAATTGCCCGACAGCAAGATCTGTCGCCAAAACCGTAGCCTAATGTAAACACAGATTGCTATAGTTTTGCTGTGGGTTTTTGATCAAATTTGCTGCCAATCTGCCCGCAGTCTACGCTCAATTTGCTTACTGGATACAGATTCGTTAATTTTAAGTAACCATTACGGTAACGAGTTATGCTTTGAATGGATAACGAGTGAGGGTAACTCATTACTTTTTACAAATAACTTTCTCAACCCTGTTTATCACATTTATTTCTGTTAATGTGGGGCCGCATCTTTATTCTGCCATCATTGACCAGACGTATATGTTCCATTGGTGTAATGCATTTTGCATCTATTGTCAATAATCTTATAAATATTTTATGTCAAAGCACAACTTATTACAAAATTAAACTTTTAATTATTGCAAAAATCAGTTGACATGACTAGATGCTTCTGTCAGTAGATATTATTAAAAGTAAACAGATTTTATGTATGATTTATTGTTGCTGCTTTTAATTTTATTAAATGTATATATGTGAGAGCAAATTTTTCTGATATTACTTATTATTACAAAAACCATATCATATTAAAATGCATGTGGTCTTTAATATAATGACATGCAAACAGACCAGATACGTATCTTTGAATATTCATATACATAATGCATATGTCAAACTGAACTTCTCTAACATTATTTATTCACAAAAAATCACATAGCACTATGTAAGATTTCTGTAGCATAAATCAATATGAATAATACGTAGCTCATATATGCTACAGTACATTCTCTGCTTTTTATGTTAGGTAAAGGTGTAGAAAAAGGGCGCCACTTCCGATCAGCCTGATCTTGACATATGTCATAGAGGTCACCCTTCTGAGTGACCTTCTGAAGATTTTAGCCGTCGCTCATTGTTTGTTAAAAAATTATTGATGAAAGAAGTCCGAAAAATATATTACAATTTTTCGATACTGTGTCCCGTTAACGAGCAATATCGAAAGATAAGTGCGATATCGAACAACTAGCGGGAGGCTACGTCCCCCGCAC